GCTCCCGACGAGAGCAAAAACGCGACCACGCACCAACGGCGTAACGTCGCCTGTAAATAATTGTAAATAGCTTTGAAATTAGAATATAGTTCCAAATTATTATCACCCATACCACTGGTTTTCATTTCACACACGAAACCCGGACCACACCGGCTAAAACTATCCCGCACGTAACGTAAGGCCGTTACAATATTAATAATTCAGAAAAGCGAAAAAATAAAATCGTTTATTTAGATAGGTTAGCTTCTTTTGTAGAAAGATAGATAGGAGGTAAACGTTTGGAGCCGATTATTGATTTATTATTAATTTATATATAAGAAAGGATTTTGTTTTTTTTTTTTGTATTGATTTCAGTTACCAAAGATTGTTTCTGAAGAGCGCTAGACGTGTGTCATGACAGTTGAGAAAATTTAACAGAGAAGACCGTCCCACCTACGGTTTTTGTGACCGTGGTTTTTCCGTGGGGTATTGAGCGAATGCCGGGGCGGGGTATTCTCAAAAGAGAACGTTGGGTCCATGGTAGCTACCCCCCCCCCTTGTCCGAAGACTGGAAGCGCACCAACCGAAAGTACGGGAACGTCGTACCTTTTGAAGATCTGACCTGGAAGGATGGCATCCGCAGAATCTGGAGCTGCAGCACGGACTGGGGCAGAGAACCGTCTTGGTGTCTGGAAGTCAGTTTCGGAAAAGAATGGGACCTGGAATGTACAGTGCTCGTTGAGTCTGGAACAGCAGCTCAGACTAGAGCAGGAAGCTGTTTTGGTTCCCTTGGTAAACGATTTCCTCAACATCTCCTCCCTAAATTGTCGGGACGACAATTTTTTTTTGAAGAGGGGGGCAGTGTTGCGCCCACACTTGGGATCCTTACGGAATCGATCTTTGATCTACGAGAGTTGGTCAGCTAGCAGCTGACAAGAGAATGTGTTTCCATGGAAACGTGTCATGGAAAGAAAGGAAGAGAATAACACGAGTTCTCGTGCACGACGGACGTGTGTTTGATATAAAAACGACGTGGGAAATTGATCAGCTGTGAAACAGCATTGTATATATAAAGTTAGGAGATATTAAAATTAAAGATTCGTTTTGTAAACGCGAGTTATTTATTCTGGTCACGCGAACGAACGCAACATTTTTTAAAAAAAAAAAAAAAAAAAAAAAATATATATATCTAATTTAAAAAATGTTGCACTCGTTCGCGTGACCAGAATAAATAACTCGCGTTTACAAAACGAATCTTTAATTTTAATATCTCCTAACTTTATATATACAATGCTGTTTCACAGCTGATCAATTTCCCACGTCGTTTTTATATCAAACACACGTCCGTCGTGCACGAGAACTCGTGTTATTCTCTTCCTTTCTTTCCATGACACGTTTCCATGGAAACACATTCTCTTGTCAGCTGCTAGCTGACCAACTCTCGTAGATCAAAGATCGATTCCGTAAGGATCCCAAGTGTGGGCGCAACACTGCCCCCCTCTTCAAAAAAAAATTGTCGTCCCGACAATTTAGGGAGGAGATGTTGAGGAAATCGTTTACCAAGGGAACCAAAACAGCTTCCTGCTCTAGTCTGAGCTGCTGTTCCAGACTCAACGAGCACTGTACATTCCAGGTCCCATTCTTTTCCGAAACTGACTTCCAGACACCAAGACGGTTCTCTGCCCCAGTCCGTGCTGCAGCTCCAGATTCTGCGGATGCCATCCTTCCAGGTCAGATCTTCAAAAGGTACGACGTTCCCGTACTTTCGGTTGGTGCGCTTCCAGTCTTCGGACAAGGGGGGGGGGTAGCTACCATGGACCCAACGTTCTCTTTTGAGAATACCCCGCCCCGGCATTCGCTCAATACCCCACGGAAAAACCACGGTCACAAAAACCGTAGGTGGGACGGTCTTCTCTGTTAAATTTTCTCAACTGTCATGACACACGTCTAGCGCTCTTCAGAAACAATCTTTGGTAACTGAAATCAATACAAAAAAAAAAAACAAAATCCTTTCTTATATATAAATTAATAATAAATCAATAATCGGCTCCAAACGTTTACCTCCTATCTATCTTTCTACAAAAGAAGCTAACCTATCTAAATAAACGATTTTATTTTTTCGCTTTTCTGAATTATTAATATTGTAACGGCCTTACGTTACGTGCGGGATAGTTTTAGCCGGTGTGGTCCGGGTTTCGTGTGTGAAATGAAAACCAGTGGTATGGGTGATAATAATTTGGAACTATATTCTAATTTCAAAGCTATTTACAATTATTTACAGGCGACGTTACGCCGTTGGTGCGTGGTCGCGTTTTTGCTCTCGTCGGGAGCCGTTGTTGTCGTCTCGCGATCAGCTGCGAGCGTCGAGGCGCGCGAGCGGCCGGCGGGACGCGGTCGGAATTGTTTCCGGATACACTATTGTTCGTCGTTCGGATTTCGTTGCCTCATCGGCTTTAATCTGTTTATTTATCCTGGTTTTTCCTTGCTGGTTTAAAGGCGCTTGTTGTCGCCGTTATCTTACGCCC